TTTTGGAATTAGGGTCTGGAAGTTAGGGTTTGGTGTTAGGGTTTGGGGGTTAGGGCTTTAGGGTTTAGGGTTTTAGGGTTTAGGGTATAGGGTTTTAGGGTTTGGGGTTTAGGGTTTAGGGTTTTAGGGTTTAGGGTTTAGGGTTTTAGGGTTTAGGGTTTAGGGTTTAGGATTTAGATATGTAGACCCATTATTCGGACGGGTAGCAAAGCTCTCAACCATCAAACAGCACAGTTAAGTGGCGACCTACCACTACCAAATGAACTCTTCTATGAGTGTTGGAATAAGAAGCTACATAGCACCTAGCAACAATCTACACCTGACGGTTTAGCATATTAGTTTACAAGAGCCCACCAACCAGCCAAGCAGCAAACCAGCCAGCCAACCAGCCAGCCTTTTATTCTTCTAAACACATAAGCATTTCGATGCTAAGTGCGATATGTTTACTGTGGATTCTTTATTTTTTACTTTTTTCAACAGATTCAGTTGCCACTTGTGCAACACCACCACCACCACCACCACCGCAACTTTGGAACAAAGGATCGAAGGGCGCGCATACACAGTCAGGAGCTAGTTTGTTTCAGCTGGCTCGCCAAACTGTTGGCACGCGGTGCATTGGCTATTCATTTTGCAAAGTCCATTCGCTTCATTCATCAGATACACTGACAAACATTTTAAGCATAAAAGGCTAGGGTGAGTATTCTCATGCGATTGCCAAGGCATCAGGCCTGACAAACCTGTCAAAACATACGCAATAAAACACGTCAATACAAACCACCTCACCAAGTGAGCGTGCATAAAACTTATACAAATGCAAAGATCACAATCGCATCAACATGTTGTGGCACTCGATCTACTCGTCGATCCAGTTGAAGACGATTGATCGCTTCCATTTCCATTCGCATTGGTTGAATCAAAGAGCGGCTCCTGTCACAAAGCAACCACTAGATTAGATGAAATGTAAACGGACACCGTAGTAAATGGCCTCCAGCTCCACAAAGTCGATGTAGTTCCGAAAATATGGAGAGTTCCTGTAGAAGCGCTTGTACTATAATTAAAAGAATGATATATATATTCTCGAAACTAATCACCTGAAGCCCAACCATGTTAGCATATCATTTGTCAAAACCACGACGGGCAAGCCATGGTGAACCGTGACAGAGAAAGCGCCGCCCCTGGTACATAAAGAAAATGACTTGGTGCCATTCATGATGGCCTTGCGACGGTTGTCAGAGTTGATGTTCGAAGCCTCCCCAAAGATGTCCACATCATCGAGCAGTAAGAACTCAGGCTGAGGTTTTTTTCGTCGCTGTTCATTCCAGCTATTCCAATTGACCTGTGCCCTAAAGTAGACGCACGGCCCAACAGCCAAGAAGTATTGCGTTTTGCCCTTTCCACCGGCTTGGTCCAATACACAAAGAGCACGGTAGCGATCACAGCGCGGCCCTTTGATGACATCTCGCACATACCTATTTATGTTACATACAACATTCGTGTATTTATATATCGCATCGTTTGACTCTCAGCTCACTCGGCAATGACGTTGGGCACGTTTGTGAAGCTTTCCAGAGGGAACACCGGCTCGTTCTCAAGGAGCGTATTGTTCATTTTACACCTATCCAATCCAATCACAGGAGGGTGGGGGGCGGCGCCAGGATGTGAAACCAAATCAGATCACCTGCTCGCCACCATGCAGATGATAATATCTTTTTTACCTCTGGGCATTTTGGGAAAGGAAACTCCAGCCCGCTTTCGATGTGCATACAGCAGGCTGCAGAGGCTGGCGTAAGTCACATTGAGACCGTTCGGGCCTATGGTGACCACGTCATCCGCAATCAAATCTTGGATATCTCTCGCTGCCAGCTCCATCTCATCAGTCTCTACAAACTCACCACCACCGGAGCGCAGGTTTTCACAATCGCGCTCCACATGTGAAATATGTATTTTGCGATGCACATGGTCCTGCCACAAAAGAAACATCTGAAAATATTCATTTGGACTCTTGGAAGAGAAAAGCCCTTTCTGTCGGACAGGCCATGGGTTTTCATGGCTGTGGCATGCGTATCCAGCGTGCTGTTCACCGTTCTTCTCATGCACTTGAGTACATTTTGACAATGTACCACCCAACACATTTGGATCAACGCCCAAAAAGTAGCGCTTGAAGTCCAGCTCGATCTGATCAGTCCACTTCATTGCGTCAGCACTGGTCCAAGCCCGGCGAATTTTAGTCATGAGCTGGAAGTGTAATCCTTTCCCACTGCTGTCCAACTGAGCTCCCATCATCCAGTGGTTGACCACCACATGGTTTTCCTTGTCCATATTTTGGAACTTATGTTTGCACGCCAAGTACTGAGAAAGCCAATCTGCAGCTTGCTGCTCCAGCTCAAAACCATGCACGAAGTCCGATTCGCTCAGACTCACGTTGTTGGCCGGAGTGTGCCACGACAATGGGAAATCCTCAGGCCCATGTTCGACCCGAGCGGCGCGACCACCATGCCCACCACGACCCGGACGGTGCACTTTTCCACATTTGAACACACGGGTATGTTTCTCACTTTCCTTCCATCGATCCAACGCGTCGGCTGTCAACAAGAAGGGTGCTTGTAGCCTGCCTAGCTTTGCGTAGCACGCAGCGGTCAGCCCCAACCGAAGTGTGTGATGTCGCACACGCGTTTTGCACTTCACATTCACACCTTGCTTCGCGTCCGGTTCAACCTGTTCGGGCACAACCGGTGTTTCACCTGTTGTCGAGCTGTTTGTTGGAAAGGTCACTGTCTCTCCATCCTCATCTTCACCGCATTCTTCCTGTGTCTCGCACTGCATAGGCACTGCTTCTATTTCAAGCGCTCTGGGTGAAGATTGCTTCGCACTACACTCTACACAAGGGCAAGGTGTTGCGTTGTTGCCATGCTCGTGACAGCGACTGACACATAGATGAGCGATGCACAAACGCCCCAGGCATAGTGGACAACATGCGTGTAGCTCATTCTCGCAACCATGATGTTCACACACTTCAGCCACACCTCCAGCAAGCGATGACACCAGTACGAGTTGCTCCTGTCTACAGCAAGAAAAAAGCAAACGCGTGAGTTCAGAAGCAACAAGTTGACCTTATCACGTGGCTTTTTGGATGACGGCGGCATGTTGTTCACGTTCTCGATCCAGCAAGGAAAAAGGAAAACTCACACGGCTGCGAGACACATCCAACCTGTTTAACTTCTGAGCCACCATATGAATTATATGCAGAAAGCAAGCTTTTCAAGCTATAGTTTTTTTTCTAAGTCGACCCCGAAGTTATCAGAACAATCCAATAGTTATTGACTTGTTTTTTGAACTAATGTGGTAGGTTTGACATTCCCAAATGATTTCATTCAACTACTTTCCACTCTCGATTACAATATGTTTTTTTCTATTGGGCCATATCTTGAGGGGTGGCTACGATTTGAAAATCTTCCGGCTCACCGGCTTATCGCACGATCTCGACAATATGTTTTCATAACTTTCATACTTGCTACATGGCCAGATTGTTGGCCTTTTTCTTTTTTTAAATCTCCTGTGGTTGGTGTTGGCTATTATACGCTGAACACATCTTCCTTCACACAGCCGCTTGGTGTGCGATGGACTTCTCCCAGCAGCCAGCTGGCACAGCTCTCCACATCGTGAGGCCACGCCTCCACCGCCACACCTCGTAGGCGCGCGAAGGGTGCCATCAACCATTCCGCTTTAACGGGCACACGAAAGGCCCAGAGTATCAGCACCGTCCCGCACTCTACTTGCGTGATCAGCACGCGGTCAATTTCACGCCCGTGATTTCTGATCATAAAATCGGTCGCCGAGTTCAATTCCAAGCTCCACGACCGAGCGCACATCACATATGCATTTGCCGTTGGCATCTGTAGTGTATGCAGGTCAGCTGTGCACAAAGCCAATGCCATGTCAAACAAGCACAAACACAATGAAACAATGACATAGCCCACAATTTGAATCAACTACTGGCGACGACAAAACCGAAAAAAACACATCGCCAAGCTGGGTTTGATTCTTAAACATCAACAGGATCTCACCCCCCACCCTCCATACGGACTGAGGAGCACATAGGTAGAAGGCGGTGAACACAGGAAGTTTCTAAGCCAGTCCTAAGCTAGCCAAAAAAGAACATTTGTTACTATTGAGTAACATCAACTTCACTTTCCATAGCTACTATAGTGAGATCGGCTTGGACATCACCAAGTGATCGCTTGCAATTGTTTTATTTTTTTTAAGCAATGTGCATTGCATCACTTGAAATAGGCCATTTCTTGGAGGCCTTCACAAGGCACTAGGCTCACCACAAGAATCCGAAGACGTGCACATGCGCTTCAGGAAATAAGCACCGGCTCAAGTGCTTCCCCACGCCTGAGACATCCACATGGTAACGCCGCACCAAGCAGCGCAGACATTGCAACTCCTTCACACTCGCGCCACTGCATGACATAGCGCAGTGGAGCCGCCACATTTCCTTCTCAATGCGATCCAATGGAAGTGCCAATGCGCCCAAGACATCGATCTCCAAGCGCATAGGTTTCTTGCGTAAAGCTTCCAGCGCTTTCTCACACGCCCACCGGGCACGCAACAATGGCACAACTTGCAGTTTGCCAGTTTCATTGCTTTCGTCCACTGCGAGCACGTGCAGCTTTGGCCACTGACTCATTTTGACAAGCAAAAGAATCGAACACAAAAGTGAACTGCAGCAATCGCAAAGATTGGTATGTTTTTTTCATATACACACTGAAGCGAAAAGGCATACACGACAAGCGTTTCGATCTAACTACATGTGTGCGCCACAACGCGGACGATAGCTTGAAGCATAGGTAAAGACTGTCAGGTACTTTTGCGGTCGAGCATTCAATATGCGCTGCTTTCAGCCGGACTGTCGGCTTTTCTTTTTGAATATAACCGCTTGGAAATAATTACATGTTGAAAATACTTCCCACCACACAACCATGTGGAGCGCGATGGACCTCCTCCCGCAGCCATTTGGCACAGCTCTCCACATCACAAGGCCAGGCTTCGACTGAAATGCCCTGTAAGTGCGCGAAGGGTTCCATCAACCAATCCGCTTTCACAGCCACGCGAAAAGCCCAGAGCATCAGCACGGTTCCGCATTCCACTCGCGCGATCAGCACGCGGTCGATGTCACTACCGCAGCGTTTGATTGTGGCCCAGGTTCCGGATTGCAGATCCGGTGTCCACGAGCGGGCGCACATCACATATACATTGGCCACCGGCATGTGCAGTGTATGCAAATCAGCCGTGCACAAAGCCAGCGCCATGACACGTGAGCGCAACAAAAAGTAAGACTTGTAAGCAAAGTCACACCACCCACAAAACGCGAATCTATATCCGATTCAATCGACACAAACTGAAAACAGCCAGGTCCACAGTTTGATTCACCACACTACAAGCCTCAAACGCGGGACTATCTGTCGACTCAACATCACCCACATCCTTCCATATAAATGGCTGTAGTTTAGTGATCGCACTGGTGCGCTTGTTCCATTCATATTTCACTTGCGTGACAAAGGTAAACACCAAAGTCAGAAGTGGAGTGCATCCAACTTACAAACCCAAAAAGATGAACCAATATGATTACATGTCAACAACTACAGGGCTACTACTACCACAAGCATCCTTTTTTCTATGTTCACTACAGTCGCTATGAAGTCAAGCCCTTGCTTGGAAGGGTCACGTCAATTCACACGCGGGTTCCACAGCTTCAGAGGAAATCATGCACCATCGTGCCCAAGCCCGGAAAGAACCGCTCGCTCAAGCATTCGAAGACCTGGGAGACACTGGCGTGATAGAACCGTGCTATCATCTCCAGTGTTATCAACGCATGGCCATGTTCCCTTCTCAGCGTGCCGTACGCACTGTGGCGCCATAGGCGGTCTAGCTCCAAGACGATGCCATCCAGCGGCAACGCCATAGCTCCCAATACATCAAGGCCGAAGCGCTTGACATCACCACCAGCCCTGCCACGGCGTTGCAACTCGGACAAAGCCCTTTGCACGGCCCAGCGCGTCCGCCAAACCGATATCACCGGCAGGCATTCTGGTTCATATGCAGTGGTGTAATCCACCGGCACGAACTGAATCACCGTTGGGTTGACAGACACCGGCGCCATGTAGTCGCTTTGGCAGCCAGTCAACAAGACCAGCAGAAAGCAAACAACGCTTCAAATATCAAACGAGTGTCCCAAGCACGAAACTTATTCTATTCTTCACCAATCAGTTGTATATTGCTCAGCCTTGTGCAACATCGATGCATAAGTGTGTCATTCAGCGCCCATTGTTGACGCACCATAGCAACACATCAACACAAACACGGTAGGGGAGAGGTGGGTCCTAACTACAATGGTCAGCTCAAATCTTTAGGTTTCTCAATACACTACAAGCACTTCGGTGTGCTTTAGATCACAAAACATGATCCTTGCATGGAGGATCGCAGGCGCATACACACACAAGCGCCACATCACCTTACAGAAACTCTACTATATACAATCCTGCTTTGTGAAAGAGGCGCGTGTCCAAGTGCTGCGACACCCGAGATGTATTCACATGATACCAGCGCAGCAGCCGTTCCAACTGGTGCATGGCACTTCGCACATTAGAACGCACCAGCGTGTTGTTGCAAGCGCGCCACAAACGTTGTAGTTCCAGCTCCAGTTCTCCTAGCGGTAACGACAGCGCCTCCCGCACATGCGCTGGGATGCGAGGCGTAGCTGGTTGCTGAAGCGCTGCTATCGCTTTCTGACACCCCCAGCGAACTCGCCAGATTGGAATCACTTGTAAGAGGGGTGGGTCATCCACAATACCCACTGACACAAAATGCACAGTCACTGGTTGAGCTGCTTGTGCCATTGCTATTCACTCGATATATAACTGTTCTTGTTTTTGTTCAGTTCCCTGTCGCAAAGCTCTTGCGCTCACAATTCAGGAACATCACCGTTCACAGCCGCGCCGCCCAGCACTTGGCAATGGTTGAAAAGCAGCCAAGCCACCAAACAAAAACAGCAAGCAAATGGGATCACGCACAAAGCTGAAAGCTCATAAGATACAAGCTTGCATCAGCTGCAGTCAAACGTTCGAAGCGAGAAAGCATACACATAAACTGTTCACTTGGCTACGTCAAAGTCACACCACCCTTCGATTGGAATTGGATGTATGTATGTATGTATGCATGTATGTGTGCGTGTATGAACCTGCACCGTGTATGTGATGTCACTCGCCGTCCTCGCAAAGGATAACAACAGAACAAAATCAGCATATATATATATACGGATATGCGTCGCATACAAACCATTCATGGATTCATGGCCACACTGTTGGCCAGCTTCTTCTATTTTTTTTTGGGGGGTGGCTTGGGCTCACACGAAATGCACGCGCTCAACCTCATAAGCGCCTGGGATGTGCTCCACCTGTGAGCGTATGTATCGTATTCCTTCTGCTGCGCTCAGGGGCCATGGCTCAAGCATTATCCCTTTCAAGGATACAAAGGGCTCCAAGAACTCCTCCACTCGCATGGGCACATGCAGGCACCATAGCAACAACATAGTGCCACACTCTACTCGGGCAATCTGCAGGCTATCTATTTCTTGAAACCTTTCATCAACCACCGCTGCCACCGTCGCGTCCAACTCTGGACTCCAGCACCGGGCACACATCATGAAGTTTTTGCATTCCGGTGCTTGCAGAGACGATACATCAGCCGTGCACAGAGCCACCGCCATGCCAGGCAGTCTCTCCACACACAAAGCAACAGACAAACAGCTCACACCGCGTGCCAGGCACAAGCTCTCAAAACCGTTCAACGAAATCACGACTGTACATATGTATATATATGTTGCAAGCTCGCCGTTTGATAGTTCGACTAAAGATATATAACTTACTGAGGTGTCAACCCACAGTGTATATGAATTTTTATCTCTATCTAAAACCATCATCATGGTTTCCACTGTGTCCAGCAGTGGCGTCGTCATAGCAATGGTCGGATTGTCGACCAAGTTACATTTCTTACGTTTTGCTTTCACACTGTCGCTGCAAACGCAACCCAGCCCAACGGCGTAGGCACAACATCCGTGGCCCTGTTCAGATCACATATGATAGCAACCATGCCCAGGCTATTTCGCGACGCAGTGTTGCAATATTGTTCGCCCGATAAAGTATCCTCGAACCAGGGTTCCGCGATGATATCATAGAACCCCTCAAACACCTCCAAGACTGGCGTGATGTGACCAGGCCGCCGCAACACCACGAAGCACAGTGCCATGTCACACTCCACGCGCACACAATAGGCGCGTTGCATGTGGCCTCGCGGTCCGAAGACTTGGCGACCCACAAGGTAGGGATATTGTCCACGATCAAATGCCCGGAAACATAACATCCAACGCAAGCACGGGTGGTGACGGTACACCTCCAAGGCAGGTGGTCGTAGTGTTGCCACCGCGCAAACTTGCATGTTGTTCACAGCGCCCCTGTCACAAATCACATAGGCTCATCACAACCCGGCGCAACAAAGAATCACAACGCTTGCTGCAACGCTACCGGGGTGGCCATCGCGTTGCAAGTGTCAAAGCTCAGCAGCAAAATGAAAAGCAAACCAATCAAGCGTGTAGTCATACCGGGTCGGCAAGGCGTTCCGGATTTGCCAGAGCTTACAGCGCCTGAGAGCAGCATGTGGTAGTCAAGTGTTTGTACACGCGCAACAAGCAGTATTAAAAGTGGAGGGTGTTCATACAGAGAGATCTATTTATATATACACCCTACATGGAGTAAAGTATATAATCGTTGGTGGTTCTGCTTTGCTTGGAAAGCTTAGCGGTATGTATTTTTTTCTATAGTAGATCTATCACGTGTGGCATTCGCACTGTATCCACGTTCCGGTCGAGATCCACCAGCACATATACTCCACCCAAGCATGTCGCTGATGCACTGGTGCAGTACTGTATACCCGATAGGGTGTCATCACACCACGGTTCCGCGATCGCATCACATCGGTCATCCAGTGCGCCCAGAACGGTGCCGACTGACCCCACGTTTCGCAGCTCTACGAAGCACAGCAATATATCGGCCTCAAGAGCTGTGCACATCACACGCTGCAAGCATCCTTTCCGGTAAAGGGTTTGGCGCACCAACGTCGTAACGAAAAGCGGTGTCACCTCATAGATCAAGAGCATCCAACGCCGCCCAACACCCCACTGGCTTTGGGCGATGCACGACGGCATGCGCACAAAGCCACAAGACCACACATGTACATCATCTAGAATTTGTTCCTGTCATCCACAAAGACAATCGCAACGAAGCAAATGATCAATCGCACACGACAACGAACTCGCTCCAGAGTTCGCTTCCTTTCTCGTTCGGCTAACTGCCTATATACAAACCCCAAAGGTCAACGAAGCAAATTACAATTTGGACTTTGTGCCGCTCATACCTCCAGGGTATCGATGTGGTCATTTCAGCGTTCAGCCAGCACAAACAAAGGCAGAAAACAAACTAAACAATCACTATATGACAAATAGCTCACTCGTGCAATCTATCGGCCAACCAGCTGACCCCATGCTGATATGTACTATTATTGTCATTGCGGCGATAGTATGTGCAACCGCAATCACGGCTTCAGGTAATATTTCTCAACCCAGACAACGTATATTATATTCACCAGCACTGGCCGGTCGGAGTACTTTCATATTCTATGATCTCAACGCCGGTTCCACCAGGCACGCGGTGGGAGCAGTACATACGTTAGCTCCAACGGCTTTCTAAGCTGAACCCAATGCTGATTACATAGGATGACATCACCGTTGTCGTTCATGAAGACCACGACGCTTCCTGATCCAAAAAAACCGACTGCCCACAGCAACGTGAGCAACCCGATCGAGCAGACAATGGGATTCCTTCCGGCGCATTGAACAGGTCAAGTATTTTTACTTCCAACCAAGCTCGCCATGAAGTGAACACCGGAACCTGTCACAAGCTAGAAATGGTGACCCTCACGCTTGCGGCACACCACGCCGCAGGCCTGGAACAAGTGATCGCCCGTCAGTGCATTGTAGGCTCGGAGGTAGACGGGTCGTTCACACACCGCAGTCGACCCAACATCGCTCACAGCGATATACGTCACCAGACCGTTTGGTGTGCTACACATCGGGTACTCAACAATAGCTTTCCATCAAAATGGCTACAGCTCAGTCATTACAAAGGCATGCTTGACCAAAGCATTTTCCACCTGCGCAACAAATACAATCGTCAAGTTTCGAAGCGAGATGTTTCCAACTCACCTGTAGAAAAGGCACCTGTTCAAACAAGACAGCACATGCAAATGGCTACGGTGATCTCCAAACCGGTACCTGATCAAAGAAGATTACATCGGCGCCAAAAAAAAAAATAGGAACAAAGATTGCAAGCTAAATGCTACAAACGCGCTTGCTGACAGACACAGTTTTTTCCTTTAAATATCTATTGTCGCATCACCAGCAATGGCTGGTTATTTTTGAGGCGGACGCAGAATATATGCCAACTTGAGTGGCCTGCCGAGCTGCTTCCACTGTTCTTCGGTGCGGATGACAGCATTATCCCGGTCCATAAACACTACGGTGCTTCCTCACAGGCCACAAACAAATGAAAACTATAATCAACAAAAAGCAGCTCGGATCAAGTCCTTCGCACGCATTGAAGTGTTCCAGGATCTTTTTTGTTAAAGCTCCTTTCCAGTAGTACGGCATAGCCTCAACCTGAAAGCTACTGTAACCAATCCAACGTTTCCGTTTCACGCGTCGCCATACACCCAGCCTTGACGAAATGCTCACCGGTCAGTGCGTGATATGCTTCGACGTAGTCACCGTTGTGGCCGCGCATCACAAAACAGATCGTCAAGCACAAAAGTTGATCAAGTCCAGAAACTTTTTCTTACCTTTAGATTTCTTGGCTGTTTGAATATGCATATCACTGATAGATTTCCAAAACCAAAACCTCGCTAACCACAAGGTGCGAACCTTGGACCTGGTGAGTTAAGGGGGTTTCCGGACCACGCCCGGACCACAACCTCACTTTGGCTGACCGGCGCAGCACTTTGAGTACCTTTTAGGTTTCCAAACGCTGGTTTTGCTGACAGGCGCAGGGTTTTGGAGCGT